TAACTTGAACAACGTTTTAATAACATGTAAGTAAGTGGATTTATGATAACTTGAACAACGTTTTAATAACATGCAAGTAAACTGGATTTATGATAACTTGAATAACGTTTTAATAACATGCAAGGAAACTGGATTTATGATAACTTGAATAACGTTTTAATAACATGCAAGGAAACTGGATTTATGATAACTTGAACAACGTTTTAATAACATGTAAATAAACTGAAATTACTTGAGTAACGAGAATATTGTTGTAAATCATGTGTAGATATAGAATAATTAAGTGGGAAACTAAAAACGTGAGTAAAAAAGTAAGAAAAGGCTGGAAATACTGTAGGAAATATTTACTCAAACTACAAACTCCTATTCTGACTCCACGAAACGTAATTCTAGGTAACAGCATGGAACCGGAATAAGGGATTATAGTTTAAGTAAATAATTTCTGCAGTATCTCCATCCTTGTTTTTTTTACGATCCCTATTTTCAGATTTTTAAATTCCCAATTTTATATTTATCTTGTTTGCTGGCTTGTTTTTATGCTCAATTATGGGCAAAGATTAATTGATATTAAAACTAACGTTATACATTGTAATGATAATAAACATAACTTGTAGCTGAGCTGATACGGTCCATGATGATTTACTATAGCTATTGACTAGTTGATCGCATTAGTTCGAGATGTAAAATGTTAAGCTGCTGCTGAAGATTGTCATGGAGATTTGTTTGAGAATATAGTGATCATTTATAGTTTCTATGTAACTAAATTCTCTCTATATATAATGTATAGCAATGGACAAATATATGCCTAGACTAACACACAACCCCCACTAAGCGGGAAAAAAAAACCCATTAGAAAAGCAGCCTTTTCAGATAACAGATCCTGTTTAATTCCAATACGTTACATCAGGTTACTTTACCTCTAACAATCAGGGCAGCTGTAAAACTGTCAGATCTTGTTTAATTACAGTGTATTACTTTAGATAACATTACCTCTAACGACCAGAGCAGCTGTAAAACTGTCAGATCTTGTTTAATTACTGTATGTTACTTTAGATAACATTACCTCTAACGATCAGAGCTGCTGTAAAACTGTCAGATCCTGCTGAATTAGTGCCTGTACAGGAATAGTTGGCAACGTCTTCAGAAATAACTCTCTGGATTCTTAAATTACTTGAGATAGAATCTGAACTTGAGATAGTTATTCGTTCGTTGGTCAATAGTTGTTTTTCATCTTTGTTCCACCTAAAGGTAACTGGTAAATCACCTTTCTTGAGATAGCAGACGATTTGTACTCTCGAACCCAGCTCAATGTCGCTTGGAAACTCATCAGGTTGTAACATCGGTGGTTCTGTGGAAGAAGAAATGACGAACTCCTGGTACGTGATATTGAATTTACTGTAGAAGTTTTAGAATCTTTGATATCTGACTTAAAACGAGCCTACAGTTTTCCAGAACATGTTAGTTTCAAAGTTTACGGTCTAGACATGTCATCAAGAGTCGTTATTCTATTCTAGCATTAATTTGTTTGATATTTAGCACAAAAGTACGAAATAGGTTATTCGTGCTGTGTCCATCAGGAGTAACGAAAGGGGTTATTAGAGTTATAATCCTTTAGACTTACCTCTCAGTCACTAGGGGCATCTTAAAGAAAAAGTCAAAGTTTAAATGTGTGACTTTCATGAACCAGTAACTAAACTTTATAGATTAACATTGTTCTCATTGTGATGATAATAAACTTTAATTTAGTTGATGTGACTTAGCAGTAGTCCCTATCTGTGTTAACTGGCTGCTAGTGGCTGCTTTATAAAAATTATTAAGCTGAAACCTCATTATTTCAGAAATAAAGAACTTATTATATTTCTAAAATAAAAAATATTTTATTACAGAAACATCGTGTGGTAAAAAACAAATAAGCCATAATGTTTGCTGAGAAACGAAAAAAAAAATTATCAAATCAAAAATATTACAAAATTTGACATATTATGAAACTAATACACAATTATTTACTTACCAACTGCAAGTACTGATGTAAAAAACAGAATACAGACAGCTAGAGAGTTCCAACTTCCCGCCATTTCCACAGTCACCCACCTTCCCGTGAGGCCTCAGTCTTTGTTGCAGGAAGATACCAGTGTTAAGCGTCACTATTACCGTAGGTCTTACGTTCAGTCTAAGCTCTACCGTTCTTCCTACATTTCCTTAACTTGTTTAATTCTTGTTAGAAACTTCTTATGGTTACAATAAATCTTACAAAATGTCTAAACCAACACTCGGTACGATACTTTAATCACCAAGTTCTTGTTTACAATAGTTACACTGCGGCAAAATGTCTTCTACTAAACACAAGAAACAACGCCACCTTACGGTAATATTAAAGAAAAATCTAAAACATTACATCATTAATGTAGAAAAATTAAGCAGTGTTTTGGATTTAACATATATATATTTAAAGATTTAGTTAAATAGGGTTAACAAATAAACTAGTGTGTATTTTTTAAAAGTTATTTTCTTCCTACTTGTTTTATATATCATCAACACAACTGTAACCGGAATCAATTAATTACAACCAGAACTGTTTTAGAACCGAATTATTTCTTTAACTTTCTCAAAACTTTATTGTGTATTAAACAAGTTGAAAGTTTGTTTATAAAAATAAGTAAAGCTTTGTTCTAAAACAATGTGATTTACAAGAATTAAATTGTTTGTTTTAGAGTAAAGCCACACTGAGTTATCTGCTGTGTCTAGCGCGATAAATCGAACCCAGAATTATAGAACTGTAAGTCCATAAAATTACCGTTCTCCCACCGTAGATCATACTTATAACAAACTTACAGATATTATAACTTGTAGTTTACTGGATACAGATATTATAACTTGTAGTTTACTGGATACAGATATTATAACTTGTAGTTTACTGGATACAGATATTACACATTGTAGTTTACTGGATACAGATACTATAACTTGTAGTTTACTGCACACAGATATTACACACTGTAGTTTACTGCACACAGATATTACATATTGTAGTTTACAGGATACAGATATTATAACTTGTAGTTTACTGCACACAGATATTACATATTGTAGTTTACTGAATCAATATATTTTATTCATCGTGATTTATACAAAGTGAATCAGATAAATGTCAAATAACCACGTGTGACATCCACGTCTACAAGTAACAGTAACAAGTTACTGCTGATATATCTTATGTTACTAACAACACGTATTTACATGAACACAACGAACATAAAAATACCAATAAACAGGAGTAAGAAACGCAGTATTCATATTCAAATTTATTATTTTTATATTGCGTGACGCCAGTGGCCCATAATTAAAAGAAGTGACGTCACTCAACTTTGGTGTGTAACTTCTAGGTGTTAGGGTTAACCTGCTTCAGTTTCGTATAGTTTCCGTCACTTGACTGAAAATAAAAAAAGAAACAATACATCTAAAAATTTAAATTCTATAAAATAAACAAAATAATTAAAAACGTTAATATAAACCCTTGAAATATATCATATCAGTCATATTAAATTTTATATTTCAATATAAATTAACCATCAGCGGAACTAGAACAATGAAACAACATTAACCTGTCATGACATCTCTGTATTGTAAGGAATATTAGAAGATATGAGAAACACCCGATATAAAGTTTACTAAATTTATTTTTAATGAAGAATTCTCAAGAGGTTGTGAACTTCGTTTAACTACACGACCTTTACTTCAAAATTATCTTAATTAGAACAATATTTCATTAGATATTTCACCAGCGAAGTTGAAGGACATCTTTAGCTGTTATAGCTAAATATTGAAATAATGGAGATATATGTCATTAACAGAAACACTGAAGCTAGTTCTGTGATATTTAGTACTGTTCAGTACGACATCTAAATGATAAAATTAGAAGTTCTCAAAGCACTCAAAAGATGTCGCTTTAATATGCTGGCTACTATATTTTCATTTTATTCGAGTATTTAAACGTATCGCTCAAGAGAAAATTTGTAAACTAACGTGTATATTCACGTGTCAATGATGTATAAAATAATATCACTAACCTCGGGTTATTAATCCTACTGGACAACGGAGGTGGTCATGTTCTACTGACAAAGTTGTGTCTACACACACATTATATATCTAATAAGATGTTAAACGAGCTAGGCCTAATCAGTTTTTCAAATCTCTTTACAGAATAAAACTAGAAAGTTTCTTTGCTTGTTATGGATTTCGCGAAAAGCTACACGAGGACTATCTGCGCTAGCCGTCCCTAATTTAGCAGTGTAAGACTAGAGGGAAGGCAGCTAGTCGTCACCACCCACCGCCAACTCATTATAATGTCACATTATAACACCCTCACGAACGAAAGGGCAAGCATGTTTGGTGTGATGGAGATTCGAACCCGCAGATTGCGAGTCGAGCGCCCTAACCACCTGGCCATGTCGGGCCTAACTAGTAAGTGAACTGAACTAACCCTAACACTAATCTTAGGTTGTTCCTTAGTGCGATGTATGATTTAATATATACTTATAACTGAAAACTGTCTTAGTTACTTTACCCCAGTTCCTCTGTATCCCGGAACGTCCCATGGAATATCATATCCATTTTCAAGGGCCCTGCTGTCACGTGACTTCAGTGTTCCCTGCATGGTTGGAGGATGTCCGTAGGATGACCTGGTCCCGTAAGCAACGTAGATTGGTTGATTTTCTGTACGTATTAATCGGATATTAATATCATTTTAATCTTTATTAAAAGTCACAGTGATAAGGGAAACGGTTTTTGTTCTTTATAAAACATTTTAGTACATCATCAAGTGACCATACTTCAGTAGTTCATCTACAAGTGTCTTGTAAACTTGACAAACTGGCTAGAATTACGTACCTAACAAGAAGAGTTAGAAGAAACGACCAATACGACAACATAACGACTGATTTACTTACTTTCTACTATGTGTTCCTTCTTCAGACAAGCCCAAGCAACAACCGTTGCCGTTTCCGTTACTGTTATTGTTTGTGCTGTAGGAATTATGAAATATAACCGGATATAGAAAGGTCCGTCTTCTGTTTCCTGAGCCGACTTAACTCCTGTAAGCAGGAAACAGCTGTTGGGTTCAGTTTACCGAGATTTTAGACTGAGAAAAACAAAGGTTTACTAAAATAATGAAAATATTCTTTATATAACACGATCCACATTCAAAACTTACCATGTGCTTCAGTAAAAGCTACAACAGGAGACGACGCACTTCCTCTTCCAAACTTGTTGT